TTTAATTCAAATTATATTGAAGTTTTCTATTCTTGTTTTGAAACATGAGACCTCTTATGTCATGAGTTGGAATCATATTTTAAATAAATAATTATTTATATACATATATATATATATATATAGATAGATATATAGATAGATAGATAGATAGATAGATAGATAATATTAGTGGTTAATATACACATACACATGCAATCATATGTAAACTATATAAATATATATACATACATACATACATACATACATACACATACATATATATATATATGTATAAAAAATAATTCCAAGAGGATAGAATCCAGGTAGAACTCAATGTCTAGGACAGAGTAAGGATATAATAAAAAGGCTTAAACACTAATATTCCATGGTCATAATTTATTCCATTGGAATCGTAAATACGATCCAATTCATCAGACCTACAAATTCAAAAAAAACTTTGTAGGTCTGATGAATTGGATGAATTACGATTCCAATGGAATAAATTATGATCATGGAATATTAGTGTTTAAGCCTTTTTATTATAGGCTTATTATATATATATTATAGGTTTATTATATATATATAACAGCAAAATTGTCCAACATTGTGCAACATCATATTTTTCCATTCAACAAAATGTTTAATATCTAAAAAACAAAGACAAAGAAAAGACTATTGAACTGTTAAATGATAATTGTCCTTCTGTACAGCATTCACTGCTGGATAATTTCCTCAAAGATGAAGCGACTTGAAGCAGGAGAAACATGCTGAGGGTACCATGGTGCAGAATATGTGAGCAACGACCAGGTTTCGGAGAGAATTGAAACAAAAAAGAAATTTATACTTAACATCAAGAAGAGGCAGTTGAAATTTCTGGTGCACATAATGAGGAAGGATGGCTTGGAAGACCTGACACTCACAGGACAGAATGAGAGAAAGTGGGACAGGAGAAAGCAACGGGTAACATACTTGATGGTCTTGTGCAAATGGATGTTAAAACAGGGATTGAGAGAAATAACAAAAAAGACAATATTTATTAAGAGCTACAAGGGACAGGAAGGTGCGTAGAGCCATGATCGCCTATGTCTCGAAAGAACACGTCACATAAAAGAAGACAGGCGAACCATACCAAGATTTTAAAAAGTTTTTTTTAATGTTTTTTTTTCTCTTTTTAGTTAACCAATTCAAAAAAATGGAGCTGGTTTATTATCGTGAACATGTCACGGCGTTACCTAGCTGTGAAGGTCTGAACTGGTGGAACTATGGAATGTAACTTATCGGAATATGCGTAGAGCCATGATCGCCTATGTCTCGAAAGAACACGTCACATAAAAGAAGACAGGCGAACCATACCAAGATTTTAAAAAGGTTTTTTAATGTTTTTTTTTTCTCTTTTTAGTTAACCAATTCAAAAAAAAATGGAGCTGGTTTATTATCGTGAACATGTCACGGCATTACCTAGCTGTGAAGGTCTGAACTGGTGGAACTATGGAAGAATGTAACTTATCGGAACATCTACCATAGTAATTTCGGTAGATTAGTAATAGGCTAGTAACGTTTGGTTTGTGAGACAAGGGTCTCAGTGAGGAAGAATAATTCATTCCGCACAATACCGCGTAATGATTTTGAACTCAGTCAAGCTTGTACAGTGAGTGTCACCAGTTCAGATATTGCAATAATACTCCATTTTTGGTCTGATCTGACTTATCTAAAGATAGCCCATAGCAGCTGAATTAACGTCTTTTTGGGATCGCTTCGACAAAGAAAAGTGTACTGAACTATTATATAATATCTGCCCCCCACATGTATTGAAGTGAATGATACACAATACCGACAAAGATGTAAAGGGGACTTAAGACAGCAGGAGGTTGCTGATGATATCATGGACCGAACATGTAAACAACAACGAAGTTTTAGAGAAAATGGAAACAAGAAGGAAACTTATAGATATCAGCAAAAAGCATTTGAAATTTCTAAAGCACGTAACGAGGAAAGAGGACTTGGAAAATCTGATACTCAAAGGGTAATCTGATACTCAAAGGTAGATTGAAAGCAAGAAAGACAGAGAAAAAACGCATAACTTAGTGAGCTTGAGTAAATGGGCGCCACAACAAGAGTTAGTAGAAATAAGAAAAAGACAAAATTGATTAAGAGCCAGGATATGTTGGAGAGCTATGACCGCTTACGTTCTTAAAGTAGACGGCATATACAAAAATATCAATGAACTAACTTTTATCTTGCAGCCTCTTGATGGCACGAATATATGCGTTCGAATTGAAGGGTCTAAATATCGAATTTTATAAAAAAAATATTTCGTTTTTTTTCTATTCGTTTGCGAATTAATATATAGAAAAATTAATGGCACAAATATTTTTATATCTTTCGAACCGTCTCAATTTTGTGCATAAATTATTCCTTACTCAAAAATGGTAACTTTGAAATTCTTATTCATACCGTCCATCACAGATGGAAGTATCGGTCTTTAATTAAAACTTAAATTAAAATAATTTTTGTATCAAAAGATTTTACATTATTTATTTTTTTTTTTTAATGCAGCGTAGTTTCTTTGTATTCACTGAAAAATTAATTTTTTAACTAATTATTTTCAAAAGTTTAATTAAATTAACCTTTTTTTTTTTGAAAAAAAAAATATAATTTTTTCTCCAATTTTTCTTAATATAATTTTTAATCATTTTAAAATTTGAACAACAAGGTTAATCCCGTCACCGCCTCGAGATTTTAAAGTTCGATTAACAGGATTTTCATAAAGGCGGTAATACTTCAGAAAACATTAACCGAATTTATCGGCATATTCTTTCGATCCATCAAAAGTGACAAGTCGATAATACAATATGACTTTTGAGCTATCAGAGTTTGTGATCTATTACAGAGGAGTTCATGCCTTTTGAGAAATACGCGTCCAAGGATTTCACACTTTCTTTTGATTTATAGAAAATAATCTCTATCCCATATCTATCTATCTATCTATCTATCTATCTATCTATCTATCTATCTATCTATCTATCTATCTTTCTAATTCTACTCATTATCTATCTATCTATCTATCTATCTATCTATCTATCTATCTATCTATCTATCTATCTCATTCAACTCATTATCTATGCGGAATGATCTATCTCTCTCTCTATCTATCTATCTCATTCTACTCATTATCTATCGATCTATTTTCATTCTACTCATTATCTATCTATCTATCTATCTATCTATCTATCTATCTATCTAATCTATCTATCTCATCTACCTCATTTCATTAATCTATCTATCATCTATTATCTATTATTATCTATACATATCTATCTATCTATCTCATTCTACCATTAATTATCATATCTATCTATCTATCTATCTATCTATCTATCTATCTATCTATTCATTATCCATCTCATTATCTATCTATCTGATTTCATCCATCTCGATATCATTCTATCTCATCTATCTATCCATATCCATCTATCCATCCATTAACTATCTATCTATCTATCTATCATCTATATCTATCTATCTATCTATCTATCTATCTATCTATCTATCTATCTATCTATCCATTCATACATCATTATCTATCTCATCTATCATTAACCATCTATCTATCTATCTATCATATCTATCTATCTATCTATCTCATTCTATCATTATCTATCTATCTATCTATCTATCTATCTATCTATCTATCTATCTATCTATCTCATTCTACTCATTATCTATCTATCTATCTATCTATCTATCTATCTATCTATCTATCTATCTCATTCTACTCATTAACTATCTATCTATCTATCTATCTATCTATCTATCTATCTATCTATCTCATTCTACTCATTATCTATCTATCTATCTATCTATCTATCTATCTATCTATCTATCTATCTATCTCATTCTACTCATTATCTATCTATCTATCTATCTATCTATCTATCTATCTATCTATCTATCATTCTACTCATTATTGAGATTGAGGAAAGGTTAAAAAGAAGAACGTGGAAGGAGAGAAAAAAGAACGGGGATCAAAGCATCAGAAGATGTTAATTGACATTACATTTTAATTTTTGAATATTATAATTATCATAGAATCAAGTAAGTGACTTCTATAGTCGGAAATTGCGAGTGAAGCTGCTGTTGGAGTAGAATACGCGGTTACTTTTAACTGTTTAGACAGTAAATTGTCGGGCCGAACTGCTAACCTAGTAGCACGCTTAAATTCATACGGTCAGGGTAACAGTGAATATAGCAGAGGGAAACCACATTACGTTGGTGAGAAAGTGACTGGAGTCGAGACCCCAAGTCACGACCGATCACCTTGCATATCCGTCTTTGGATTTTGTTGAGAACCTTGAGATGGACAGCGGGGTCACCGGACCATATATGACAACGGTATTCCATGCCAGGACGAATGAAAGATTTGTAGATGTGAAGGATGGACTCAGACGAGAAAAAAAAAAACCTTCTGGCGCGACACAGAAAACCAACTTACGGTAGATGAAGCTATTGATTCAATATAGTTCTTCAACCTCGGGTCAGTGGAGAACTTGAGACGAAACAGGCACAGTGGGTCGCTCTCACTGAGCTGAGAATCAACCATGCTGATAAGAGGCAAGGTGTTTTCACTGTGGTGGTTCTTTTCTGGCATTTCCTCGCTTTTGTAGATTTGCATTTATTATTTCTATAGTCTTTTCTATACGGAAATCATCTAAAGCTGCTACCATCCCTATTACAAATCCTTCTGGCCCTGCTGCTTTATTTCCCTTCAGTTTGGCCAGTGCTGATTCCACTTCAGATTTTATTTCTGGTCCTTCACTATTTTTTTGTATTGCCGGTTGTTCTCTTTCGTCGTGGAAGAGTTCTCCAAAATTTATCGTTCCTCCTTTGAAGTGTTTTTCTTTCTCTAATATCAATATGGCGTTCTTAGTTTCCTGCATCCTGGTGATGAACTGTCTATCAAAAATGCAAAAAGCCCAACAAATATCTTTCCGAGAAGACATCTTTTTCTCAGGCATGTAAACATGGGCGTGTTTTTCGCTTCCTTTCCTTATTTTTTTTTGTTCCTTTTTTCGTTTTTTCTTTATTTCGGGATTTTCACCTTCCTTTTCTTTCTTTTCTTCATTTTTCTTTTGTTATTTACTGCCCTTTATATATTCTTTTCTTTGACTTCAATTCATTTTTTTTTCTTTCTTTCTTTCTTTCTTTCTTTCTTTATTAATGTCTATGCTATTTTCTTTTTTTCTTCTTTTTCCTTCTTCTTTCTTTCTTTCTATAATATTTTTGTTTCCTCCACTTTCTTTACTTTATCCTTTTCTTTCATTTTCATTCATTTTTTATTGCCTCTTCTCTTTCTGTCCTTCCTTCTTTCCTACTTTCTTCCATTATTTCATCGCATTTTAAACAAGTTTCTCTATATTCCATCTCTTTCTTTCTTTCTTTCTTTCTTTCTTTCTTTCTTTCTTTCTTTCTTTCTTATTCTCCTGTCCGTCTTTATCTTTTCTTTCTTTCTTTCTTTCTTTCTTTGCTATTTTCTCTTTCTTCTTCTTTTTTCTGTTCTTCTTACTTTTTTATTCTTCCTCTCCACTTCCCTTTCTTTCTTTCTTTCTTTCTTTCTTTCTTTCTTTCTTTCTTTCTTTCTTTCTTTCTTAATGTCTATGCTATTTTCTCTTTTTCTTCTTTTCCCGTGCTTCATTCTTTCTTTCTTTCTTTCTTTCTTTCTTTCTTTCTTTCTTTCTTTCTTTCTTTCTTTCTTTCTTTCTTTCTTAATGTCTATAAAATTTTTCTTTTTTCTTCTTTTCCCGTGCTTCATTCTTTCTTTCTTTCTTTCTTTCTTTCTTTCTTTCTTTCTTTCTTTTCTTTCTTTCTTTCTTATTTTTTTCTCCTTTCTTTATAACATTTATAACCCTCTCACCCCAATTCTTTCTTTCTTTCTTTCTTTCTTTCTTTCTTTCTTTCTTTCTTCCGTCTCTCTTACTTCCTCTTATTCTACATCTCCATTTCCCCTACTTTCTTCTTTCCTTTCATTATTCTATGCTATTTTTTCTCCTTTTTTTCTGTTCTTCTTAGTTTCTTTTATTCATCCTCTTCATTCCCTTTTCTTTCTTTCTTTCTCTTAATAATTATCTTTCTTTTTCTAATACATTATTTCTTTCTTTCTTTCTTTCTTTTTTTCTATTCTATTTTCTATTTTTCTTCTTTTTCCCGTCCTTCCTTCCTTCTTTCTTTCTTTCTTTTCGCCTTTATTTCCTTCTTTATATTTCCCCATTTCCCCTCCGATCCGATTGGCTGCCCCCCCCCACGTAAACAACATCCCTTGAGTCTCCCATTGTCTTCAACCTTCTCCATTAACACTCTGTTTCCTAATTCAGTTCTCTCGACCCAAAATACAAAACTGCTTCCAAATTTCTTTCTCCCACTTCTCTTTGGCTTTCTATTCGTTTTTCGCCATTAGACTATTTCGGTCAGTTAGTCCGGCATCACTCGACACACACTTCCTTCTTTGTGTTCACGTCAACTGCAAAAAATAATCATAAAAAAAAAAAAAAAAACATGGCTTCCCCAAAATATCGTCATCTGACAATCATTTATACAACAACTGAATATAATATGAATAAATATAATTTCCTCCCAGTTTCTTTGTCCCTGGTTATGTTTGCACGTCTGTCCTGTCGGTGACTTGCTATGGTTAACAAGCTTATATTGTAGAACAGCAATGATTTCTAATCTTAGGGCAAACGAGACTAAATTTAGTAAATGGGCGCCGAGACATGGATTTATGGTTAACAAGCTAGTCGTGCAGACTGTTATTCCAGCAGTAGGTAGTATTTTTTTTATTAGGGACTCTTCAATTACGGCCTTGTGGCAGGATAAGCTGATTAAAATTAAGCGCAAGAGGAAAACATTTAATGAGTCCTAAAATTCAGAAGATATTTATTTGATTTTTTTTTTATTTATTGTTTTAACCCCAAGCAAGATAGTTGGGAAGCCACTACAATGCAAGGGATTACAGAGAGTTATGTATTATAGAGCAATAAGGAGTGATAGAGGAAAGGATGAAGAGAAGGTTAGTCTTTTCTTTTAATAGATGAAGGCATCTGGAGATGTCGATTGACATTACATTTGAATAGTTGGAGTTTATAGCTATCAGGGAAGTTTTAAAGAGGGAGGGAGTTCCACAGTTGAGAGGTGTGAGACATGAAGCTATTGGAGTAATTACGGGCTACATTTAACAGTTTTGACAGTGAAAGAGCGAGAACGAGATGCCAGCCTAGTAGAACGCTTAAATTCATGAAGTCTGGGAACCAGCGAAAGCAGCTCATCGGAACAGTTACCATGAAAGTACTTGTAGAAAAGACAGAGGGAGGCGACGGCACGTCTGCAACTGTAGACGAGATGCCAGACAATGACAAACCACACTGCATATCCGTCTCTGGATTTGATCGAGAAACTTGAGACGATAAGCGGGGGCACTAGATCATATATGGCAGCAGTATTCCATGCAAGGGCGAATGGTTGATTTATAGATTTGAAGGATTGTCTCGGACGAGAAGAACTTTGTGGCACGACACAGAGAACGAACTTCATAAGGACATTATCTGCGTTCTATCCCATTAACGAATAGAGGTGACTTACAGCATCAATGGAAGAAGATTTCATTCAATTGTACAGCACATACACAAAAACACACATGCGCACGCACACACGTATACACGTGCACATATACATATAAGTTAAACATATAGTTTTAAGATATGGTTTTTATCGGTAAAGGAGCCCACTATCAACTAGGGGTATGTAAATATAAAAATGAACAGTGAGCTCAACAACCAAGCCTAAACATATATATATATATATATATATATATATATATATATATATATATATATATATATATATAATTATTTATTTAAAAATATGATTCCAAAACGCTACATAAGAAGTCTCATGTTTCAAAACAAGAGCCGAAAACTTCAATATAATTATTTAAATTAAATTGAGTTAAAATAAGCTCTGTTCCATCTTCAAGCGAATTTTTTTTTTTGGAATAACGTATATCTGAAATTTACGTGTTTTAAAAATTGAAATCAAAATTTCCATGGTAACAGCTAGGGCGAATTGTTTAAATTGGGTAGGCGTGTGTTGGGTGTTAATAATAAGTATCAGTATAGAGTTACTTTCATAGATGTCAAGTCATTGAAAGGTGGGGTGTCTAAATTTGAAACGGAAGATGTATTAACCCTCGTCTAGTTTGCATGTCTATGGAGATTTATTTATTTTTTTTTTTATTTTATTTTTTTATGAAAGGGATTTGTGCATATAAAAACTGTCGTAACGTTTTTTTTTGACGACTTCATAAAGGGTTATCTTTTTTTGTAGGGTATTTAAACTATTTATTTGGGCTATGGATTATGAAGGCATTATATTGTATGCATGTTTTTAGTTAATTATTCAAACCATGAATCTGATGATTGGGATATGGATTAAACAAGTTATTATATTTTATTTTTTTTTAGCTAATAATTCAAACCAAAAATCTGATGATGTCTACAAAAACCGTTAACTCGTGTCTATTGTTTAATAGATTATTATTATTTATAATTTAATAATGTGCAATTTTTCATGGAGGCATAAAGGGCATGGGTCATCCCAAGTTTTACATGTTCTAGTTTTTGTTAATAATTTTCCATTTAACTTTAGGTGTCCTATTTGTTTCCTTCAGACGCCAAAAATATTTAGATAGGGAAGTCTGATTTCTTTTGTTTATATTATTGAAAGAGCACTTATGCTGCCTCCATCTATCTTTAAAATCATTCTTCGTGGACCCAATGTATATCATATTAGTGCTAATATATATATATATATATATATATATATATATATATATATATATATATATGCTAAGAAAGTATTCATCCAGTGTAGTTGCATGTATGTGTTGGTGTGTCTGTGTGTGCGTATATATGTGTGCGGAAAGAAAGTCATAGACATACAAATCAACACTGTATGGCGACAGTCATCTTCATGCTTTGATTAGTCTTTAGACATGGCCTGAAGATCGCATTGAAGCCTGAAACTCACCATGCGCTGTTGATTTGTTTTGGAATTTAACTGTTTATTTTTTGTTTCCGATACGGAGCATTCTTCACCAAAAACGCATCTTTTTATATATATATATATATATATATATATATATATATATATATATATATATATTTTTTAACAGCAAAATTGTTCAGATCGTGCAACATCATAATTGTCCATTCAACAAAATGTTGAATATCTAAAAATCATTTAAACTAATTCAGGTTTTCAGATAAGGCGTGTAGCCATCTTGACATCATTTGAAAAAACCTCTGATTTCTTCTGCTAGAAAGAGAAAATTTAAAAAATGTTTTTATGTCAGACCCACTGTCTTTCCAACTGAGCAATGGTGAAAGGAAAAAGATCATTCAGGCCTTCAGTAATGGTACGAAGTAAATCGAAGGTAGCCGAGTCATAACTAGGTAACTAAAGGTCATCTCAGCACAATTGCAGTATAAACCACAGTTGGGCTCTGTAGGTGTTGAATAAACACAATATATATATATATATATATATATATATATATATATATATATATATATATATATATATATTATTTTATTAAGTTATTCTGATGTCCTTCAGATTTTTTGGGAATGGCTAAGTGAACTGTCCGGAGGGGTTATTGTACGAATCTATTTCATCATTTCAAAATGGCTGGTTTTTGCTTTTCCATATTCGTGTTATTTAAGTCATCATCAGGCTAGATAGAGACAAATGACGAGTTTAGATAAATTCTGAAATTGTGCAACGATGACAAAGTCGAATACTTGTTCCATATTTCCTGTAATTTTTTTCCGAAATGAACTTCGGCTATTTTCTGACAGGGTTTCCTCTTTGTCCGTGAAGAAATATTCATAACTTGGAAAAGTCGTCCATTAAAGTTAACCGATACAAAATGTCTGAGATTATATATATATATATATATATATATATATATATATATATATATATATATATATATATTGAATTTTTGGACGTCATATCTAAGGCACCTTTCGGCCAACGCTTTTCAAAAGATATTCGTTGGCAATATTTAATATAAATGGATACAAATACAATGAAGTGACTGTGGATGGAAACGTGGAACTCGACTAAAAAGACAAATTTCAATTATATAAATTTAAAATCGAATGAGGGGGGATATCAATAAATAGTTCCACAAGAGTATATAAAATAGAAAAAAGGGGGAACTCACAGACCCTCCAACAGTTTATATAGACGTAAATTAAATGTTCCTTCTGTCTGCAAAAAACAGACTGTTGACATATTTTTAAAGTTTGCTTAGAAAAACGAAATATATATATATATATATATATATATATATATATATATATATATATATATATATATATATATTTATGTTATGAAGCCGTTTATATATATATATATATATATATATATATATATATATATATATATACAAATATTTATATATACAAAATTTATATATAGTTTTAAAAACAAGGAATGTATTGATTTTATTTTTTAAAAGTTTCTAAGGCCCTTTCAACCAACATCTCATCAGGAGACAATCGTTGGATCAACGAAAAGAATATTAACGACAATGAAGAGCAAAAAAGGGGGAAACACACTAAAAAAAACAAAACAAGTGTATATATTTGTAACGCGGGGAGGGGAAATAATCGTGTAAATAAATTAGCGAGGGACAGTTAAAATAAAATATCCCCCAACAGATTAAGAAACTTTACAAATTCTTTCTGTCGGCAGAGAGAACGTTTCCTTAATCCTATGCAGACCGATTCCAAAATCTTCAAATGATTGTTGGAATCGGCTGTATGAATAATTTTAAACCACTCTTTTTTTAAACGACTTGGCGCAGGCTATATTCTCAACTAAACGTTGAGCAATAGCCAATTCCATATTCATGGGGGGAAGATAGCATATTTTATCTATCTTACCAAGTCGTATTTTGGAAGGTACGTGCTGATTGATTCTAGTTTCCAAATTCAAGGTTGTACGCCCCACATAACCAGCAGCACACTGGCAATTAAACTCATATACTAAATTACTCAATTTGATGTAGGGCAATACATCCTTGCGAAAAGACGGAAACACAGACCTAGTTCGAAAAATGCTACGTAAAGCAACTGATGGGAAACAACCGGAAACCGACTTGCTAACCTACTAAAATTTTTTAATTAAATTTGACCCCTATCCCCAATCCAGGGAATCTTCAAATACACCGGACATTTAGAAGGCCCCTGGACTTTAGGGGAATGAAATTCCTTATATATTCTTACTAATAATATAGTCAATAAGGGCCTCCGGATAGCCGTTACTGAAAAATATATATATAAATATATATATATATATTATATATATATATATATATATATATATATATATATATATTCCCAAGAGGATAGAATCCAGGTAGAATTAAAATGTCCAGGACAGAGTAAGAATATAATATAAACGGCTCAAACATTAAAATTCCATAGTTATAATTTATAACTTTGGGATCGTAATCACGATCAAAATCATCAAACCTATAATTTATTACACTGGAATCGTAATCACGATCAAAATCATCGGACTATACTCCTGAAAAATTTCTTTCGGTTGAGCTCTCTGAGGAGGAAGTGTGACTTTGTAAACAATTACTATTACTGCTAATAATGCAAGACTCTTCAGTAAGGCGAATCGAGTTCACTCAGTCACTGTGTGTTTATCTAAAAATAAATATGCTTAAATCCAACTTCTTCCCTGTCGTGCGCCAACGGCTTAGGGGTAGAATCTGCAACTGACGCCAATTCAGCCGGGTTTCGATCCGGGCTAGAGGCAACCGGACGTCTTGCCTCACTGATGATCTGTGATACAACCTGTCTGTGGATGACAATATATATATATATATATATATATATATATATATATATATAAAAACAAAGATGAAGACCACATTTTAAAATTCTATGGATTAATGAAAGAAATTTTAGACAAAACTGTAAAATCCGATGTATATAAGGTTTTGAAACACTGTGCCAAAACAACAAAGATGAAGATCACAGTAACAAAATATATATTGAAGATGTAAACATTGTTATAAAAAAAGTATAATAATGCAGATTATATCACCTTAACCAGAAGAATATAAACATCATCGCGATTATGCCGGCAGCCATCTTTGATCAGATGTCGGAACAAAACAACGTTTCCCCCATAAAAGGTAAATATAAAAATACTTACATAAAATATTAGCAAGGGAGTCTTTAAAAATACTGATGCGGTTCTTGTCTGAAATTCTTACTTTTCACCAATTCTTGTCTGGCTTACCATTTTTCTGACCGGCGTCTATCATTTTCCGACAATATATTCTCTTACATCACTCGCTGACAGCAACTGATGTTCCTGCTAAATTCTTCTGGCAGACAAAAGAAAGCAAAAGCTAGATTGGCCTCGCCGGCAGCCATTTCTACTGCTTGTCAGTTGTAGCGGGAAATCTTTTTCAGTTTCCTAACAGACGGCCTTCGGCAAGTTTTTCTGATATCATTAGAAGAAGAAAATCACAAAATGTCTAAGGACAAAGGACAGTAAGTGTATTAATTCACAGAATCCATTGTAAATAATTATTCATACCCAACTGTTTAAAAACATTACCAATAAAAAACAAAACAAAACAAAAAAAAACAAAAAACAAAGAAAAACAGTAGATTTATTGAACGAAAAGATGTTTTACAAGAATAGTACTAAACGCATTGTTTAATTATATAAAAACAATTTACTATTCCTAGTGCGTTGAACCAGATATTTAAGTGTGAAATACGTCTTTTTCTTCGATGTCTAACGACTTCCGATTCTCTTGCCTTTTCCTGTGAGTGTCAATTTTTCTAAACATTCTTTTCCCATTATGTATCCTAGAAATGTCTATTGTCTCCTTCCGATTCCAAGTTTATTTTGCTTCCGTTTTTCTTAAACCTTCCCGTTAATAAAATGTTCAGTTTGTGGGATTCTCACCATCCTTCTCTGACTTCAAGTCTTCTTCATCTGTGAGAACATGTTCGGGTATTAACTTTCCCATAGAAGGACAGATATTCAGCATCCGTTGTTTAGCTTTTGGAAGACCAATTTCGCGATATCCTGTGCACTTTCCGATTTCGGTGCTATAATTCTACAAATAATATCAACATTATGGAAACTAATCGATGACAGTGGTTTATTCTTGCAAATAAATTCTTAACTTTTTTTCATATAATTTTTCTCATTTTCTAATAAGGATGTTGCAAGGAAAGACACGATTAACAGCTAGCAGGAAAATAAACCTAAAACAATAGAAAAATAAAGATGTCCAGTGATATCTGTCTATATCTCCGAGATGAGGTATTATGATTACTTACAGTATATACATTTTTCGGAATGTTATCCCCATCTTTATTGCCATATTCACAACATTTCGGCCTCTATATCTCCGAGATGAGGTATTATGATTACTTACAGTATATACATTTTTCGGAATGTTATCCCCATCTTTATTGCCATATTCACAACATTTCGGCCTCTATATCTCTGAGATGAGGTATTATGATTACTTACAGTATTTATATTTTTCGGACTGTTATCCCCATCTTCATTGCCATATGCACAACATTTCGGCCTCTATATCTCTGAGATGAGGTATTATGATTACTTACAGTATTTATATTTTTCGGACTGTTATCCCCATCTTCATTGCCATATTCACATCATTTCGGCCTCTATATCTCTGAGATGAGGTATTATGATTACTTACAGTATTTATATTTTTCGGACTGTTATCCCCATCTTCATTGCCATATTCACAACATTTCGGCCACTATATCTCTGAGATGAGGTATTATGATTACTTACAGTATTTATATTTTTCGGACTGTTATCCCCATCTTCATTGCCATATTCACAACATTTCGGCCCCTATATCTCTGAGATGAGGTATTATGATTACTTACAGTATTTATATTTTTCGGACTGTTATCCCCATCTTCATTGCCATATTCACAACATTTCGGCCTCTATATCTCTGAGATGAGGTATTATGATTACTTACAGTATTTATATTTTTCGGACTGTTATCCCCATCTTCATTGTCATATTCACAACATTTCGGCCTCTATATCTCTGAGATGAGGTATTATGATTACTTACATTATTTATATTTTCGGACTGTTATCCCCATCTTCATTGCCATATTCACAACATTTCGGCCTCTATATCTCTGAGAAAAAGGTATTATGATTACTTACAGTATTTATATTTTTCGGACTGTTATCCCCATCTTCATTGCCATATTCACAACATTTCGGCTCTATATCTCTGAGATGAGGTATTATGATTACTTTGCAGTATTTATATTTTTCGGACTGTTATCCCCATCTTCATTGCCATATTCACAACATTTCGGCCCTATATTTATATATCTCTGAGATGAGGTATTATGATTATTGATTTACAGTATTTATATTTTTCGGACTGTTATCCCCATCTTCATTGCCATATTCACAACATTTCGGCCTCTATATCTCTGAGATGAGGTATTATGATTACTTACAGTATTTATATTTTTCGGACTGTTATCCCCATCTTCATTGCCATATTCACAACATTTCGGCCTCTATATCTCTGAGATGAGGTATTATGATTACTTACAGTATTTATATTTTTCGGACTGTTATCCCCATCTTCATTGCCATATTCACAACATTTCGGCCTCTATATCTCTGATATGAGGTAATATGATTACTTACAGTATTTATATTTTTCGGACTGTTATCCCCATCTTCATTGCCATATTAACAACGTTTTGGCCTCTATATCTCTAAGATGAGGTATTATGATTACTTTTGATTAATACGATACGAATTATGTGGGTGCTGTTTAGCATGTTATCTTATACTATAAGGAAACATCATTAAACCTAGCTTGCTATGACCATTCAGCTACACAGAACTTCCGGTTAAGCAAACCTCGATTTATTGCTTTTAAACACCTTTGACTATGAGATGCAGGTTCGATTCCTGTCGGAGTAAGCATATTTTCTACGAAATTCCTCGTACATTCAGGCCGGTGAATGTAATTAATATTGTTTAATACAAGAAAAGATCATTTACTCAGATAATGTATCCATAAATTAAGCTATAAGTAGAAAATATTAAATATTTGATTTAATCCAAATAATATATATATATATATATATATATATATATATATATATACACATACACACACACATGGAAAATATATATATATATATATATATATATATATATATATATATATATATATATATATATCCAAATTGTAGAATTGTCAAAACAATATATTATTTGTAAATTGCAATAACCAACAAATACTATTCTTAAAAGAGTGCTCAATACAGAGCAGAGCAAATATAATTATTCATTCGAAAATTATGGCATAAATATGTTATAAAATCACTACATAAATAGCCATTTTGTTTCAACACTTCTGGTGTCTTTATTACTTATTTAGGTTATAATTTTCGAATAAATAATTTTTTTCCAATTGTCAATCTATACCAATTTGTCTTGTCCACAGAATTGATTTGGGAATCTATCTATCTATCTATCTATCTATCTATCTATCTATCTATCTATCTATCTATCTCTCTCTATATATATATATATATATATATATGAAGAAATATAGTCTTAAGATGTACTATATTTATATGATAAAGTGCTCAATATCAGAGATAGAGCGTGTGTAAATATAAAAGTGAACATAGAAGTCAACACTTAGAGGCGACAGTCTGTTTCATGCTATATGCAATCGTCAGGGCACCCGATTGCATGAAACAGACTCTGGCCTCTAAGTGTTGATATAATGTTCATTTTATTATATATATATAAATATATATATATATATATATATATATATATATATATATATATAAAAACGTTTACTCATATATTTGTGTATGTGTGTGTGAAAATGTTGTAAAACAATGTATATATAACGCTTTTTGAGATGAATTTGCGTTAATGCAAATTTTAAATGGATATGCTCATGGTTTTTTTTGTAAAAGCTTAAAAATACAAAACGAGGATTTCATTTCCTCTTTCTTTTCGCTAAACGCACCTCTGTTTTTGCTTAAACGACTAGTTCTTTTCTTTATGAACAACACGCAGTTATATACTTCCTTTCCTATTCTCTCTCTCCATTCCTATTTCTGTAACTATTTGTATAGGATTGACTGAAACGAATGTCTAGTCGCAACGGTTGTCCTTTGAAACCTTGCTAATGTCGCTGTTAATATGCCGCTGATATTTAAATACCTATATGACAGTGAACCAAATGAAACGACAGAGTTGTATTTCTATGGATAAATATTAAGAACAGCATAGACAGAACAAGAGACATAATAAATAAACTGGTATTTACAATCAGAACTTAAGGCATCTGGTAGTTTAATATTTATTTTTATACATTCTTTTATGTAGATAAAAATATTTAAGTAAATGCTCTGTTTATAATAAACAGTATTAAACAACATTTACTGGCCTGAATGTCCGAGAAATTTTCAAAGAAAATATTCGTTCCTCGACAGGAATCGAACCTGTATCCTATACGGAAGCGTCATTTAGCTTAACGTGTCTTAACTAATTCGGCCACAGAGGAGCGTTTGGCTGGCAAGGTCGATTTTACTGCTTTTAAACTACAATCTTCCATGATTCTCTCACGTACATTCATATCTGCTCAAAGCGTATCCAAATGTAAACAAATGACGTCACGCATTATGAAATGAACAAAGTCCCACAATTATTTTAAGGCATTTTTATATTTATACATACTTTTTATAGATACAAATATTTAAGTAAATCCTCTGTTTATAATAAACAGTATTAATTTACCGGCCTGAATGTCCGAGAAATTTTCATAGAAAATATTCATCTTCCGACAGGAATCGAACCTGTATCTTGATGCCGTAGACTACAAGACCTTGTATCAAGCCTTACTTTATTATATGTCCCAGACAACACATGTTCTGATTATAAATATCAGTTTCTTTATGATATCGCTTCTTCTGTCTCAGCTGTTCTTAATATTTGTTCATACTGTCGTTTGATGTGGTTAACTACCATATAGGTATTTAAATATTAAACAGCATTTCATCTCTCTTTTCTTTGTTTCCTTTCTATTTATACTTTACTCTGTTTCTAAAAGGCATCTTCAGCCATTCCTTTAGGTTTTCTGCGTCAGATTTTCCAACCAGGGAAGATTGAGATTATTCATCGATTCCACGGTGAAGCCAACCCGACCTTTGGTATTATTTATAAAATTCTATTGTGCGAAACGGAGTCTTAATTTTATTTAAAGATAAATACTTTGTAAGGAAATTACGATCCGTACCGAAATTCACTTTTTTGTTGTTTTAAAGGCGAAAAGACTTATTTATCGAAGAGCGCGTCTTTTATTCTATGAAATCGACAGTGTGTTTTCACTTTGTGAAACTTGCAACAAAGAAAGGATAAGAAGAGAAAAACGTAAGGGTGTCGAGAACCAGGAAATTAATATCCCCAGTTTGAGTGTAACGATTAACACTTGTTGATGTTTCTAGATTCCGACATTAGCAGGGTTTCAAAGGACAACCGTTGTGACTAGGCATTTGTTTCAGTCAATCCTAGATAAATAGTTCCAGAAATGAGAATGAAGGGCTGTGAACAAAGACAGATGAGAGAAAGAGAGAGAGAGAGAGAGAGAGAGATCAAGAGATAGAGAGAGATAGAGAAGAGGAAAGGAAATAAAATAAATGCATGTTGTTCAGAAGAAAAAAGACCCTTTTCTTTAAAAAACAGAGGTGCGTTTAGCGAAAAGAAATCAATCGAAACACAAAGGCAAGGAACGTTACATAAAAAAAAAGAAATCAATTGGATCGCAACAAATTTTTATCCATTTTTTTAAAAAAATGATGTGCATATCCATTTAAAACTTGCATTAACGGAACTTCATCACAGGATACTCGACAATTTAAAGGCACTAAAATAATGTTCAAAAAATTTTCAGAATATATAATATTTAAATTATTTTACAACAACATCCCAAAACAAATATATAAATATATATATATATATATATATATATATATATATATATATATATATAAATAAAAAAGAAATAATTATAAATATATATTATAATAATTTATTGAAGAAATTAACAGATTTGTTTTAAACTACGCCGGATCATCAGATAGTTTTTTAAACAAAAATGAAATGAAAAAGAAATTAAAATTGATAAATCGTATTTAATAGTTTTTGTAATTTAAAAAGAGTGTAAAAGAAATCTTAAAAAAGAGACATAAAAAGAGTAAAAAAAACTTTAAAGTCTTATATTTATATCCCAAATATTAATTTAATATTTATCTCAAAATGAATATTGACCTGTTTAGATGGTTAACTTAACGTCCATGATATATATTGAAATAAAGGAGGGGAGAAGATACAAAAGAAAAAGGAAAAAGGTTAAAAAAGAAAGAAGAGGAAAGTAAATAATAGAGGTTCAAAAAAATGAGTTTTACATATGGAGGAGATAATGGTAAGTTTTCCATAAAATTTATGTAAAAAATAGATTTTTAATGTTTGATAGTAATTTAGATGTCTAAAAAAGTGAACGGTTTAAAAAAATACAAAATATAAATACATGTATTCATAAAATATATATATATATATATATATATATATATATATATATATATATATATAAATATATAAAAAAATGGAAAATATTTTATTATTTTATTTAACCATATATAAATATGGTGAAAACTTTTCATTTTTAAAATGATAAATATTTTTGATATTTACCCTTTTCTGGCAAGATTAATGCTGGACAAACGGATTTATAAATTTTAGATTAAAATAAAATTTTTTTTCATTTGAAATATACTCTATTTTAGGAATATAAACCACAACATCGGATACGTGACGTCGACGTGATCGTATAAACGAAACGGAACGCTGATCTTTTAAAATTTCAGTTATTCTGTTTTGATTAGTCTTATGTCTATCGTCTTTTCATGTTGACTTGAATATTAAATAATTTTAATTATGTTTTAATATATATGTATATATATACAAGAAGGTCTATAGACCGAAACATTGAATTGAAAGTTTATTAAAACAGCATACTTGCATATTCGAAATTTTGTTTTATTGTTTATTTTTCTTTCATACTATCGGATCTATATCCACATATATGGAACAAACACACACACACACACACACACACACACACACACACACACACACATATACATATATATATATATATATATATATATATATATATATATATATATATATATATAGTTAATGATAATTCTACGTATATTTTCTTAATATATATATATAGAAAAAGTTTCAAATAAAAAAATAATAATGTTTTATTTTATGAAAGTGTTTATTTATTTATATATATATTTGATATTTCAAATTGTCCTCAATTTTTCATCAGAAATAACTGTTTGTTACAAATAAATTAAAATTACTGTTTGTTAGCATATATATATATATATATATATATATATAGGTTGTGATGGATAAATATTCCTGTAAATGGCGCGAAATTGGAAGTAACTGTGATATCTCATTTTAACAGATATATTTACCTAAATCTCTTGAAAATCTAAAGATCAAATTTATTCAATAAAACCAAATTGGCTTCAACGACGGCCTCCAAAGAATCTCCTGCAAATCTTTCTGGACGGTCACCTTGCTTAAGTTGGTGAATCCTGTTAAAATCTTTGCCTTCAGTTCATCTTCTGTGTTACAAGGAGTTTTGTTGGTCTCTCGCTCAGCTGCGCCCTACGGGAAGTTAGGTGACCAGATGTAAGGGATGATGTGGTCGCAGAAATTGTCTCACAGCCCTGATTGGGTTCTCTTATTTTGTGGTCATACTAAACCCAATATAAATAGATATATAAACAACTTCCAGCGGTCACTCTCTTGAACCAGGGCAGATCTACCTTATCAAGGCATTTGATATAAACCTTCCCATCTATGAAGAGTCATGAATTATGGGAAGAAATTATTTTATAATTTTGTCATCACTACTGATCACTCTAAACTCTATCGTAATCATCATTAGACTCATCAAACTCTGCGAATCCTCTGCCCTGTCCTAAGATGGACACCAAAACTTTCTGGAATATTCGTATTGGAGCTTCCGGTACAAATGCCATGCTGTAGTACATGCCGTTTCCAAATTTCTGGAGAAGAGAATTGCGAAACTGACTCTATAATACTGTGTAGTCAACAAAATAAATAAAAAAAAAACAATATATATATACAAAAAAAAAAAATAAATATAAATTTACCCATATATATGTATATATATAGTATATCCAACTTAATACTTCGCAATGATTCTTCTCCCCCGGTTAGCGATTTGCAAATAACCAACATAGTTTATAAATTCAAGTGCGCTTTGGGAGAGTGTATCTCCAACGAATTAAATAATATTTATGTTGGTCACACCACAAACTCGCTTTCACGACGCTTGACACTACATTTGAATGAAAACTCTAACATTTTTAGGCATTTAAAACAACATGCCTGCCCGCACACACAATTCCGTAAAATACTTGTCGAAAACACAATTATACTTCGACATGAAAACAATAGACAAAAACTAAAAA